TAATGGGCCGAGCAGTGTCAAATGTCACAAACCTGCCACTTCACCATATAGCTGATACAGTTGAAGTTAGGCTTCAGGTATATACCCTGTTATACTGTGCTATCGAGGGCCTAAGCTGTTGAAATGGGCCACACAGGTCTATGCAGGGTGGAAAGGCATTCAAAGTCCATGGACCCCTTATGCCTGTGTCTAGACAAAGGAGCTGTGCCTACCCTGAGTTCCCGGTTAGGGGAGCTGGCAGATTATTTTTTCCTGTTTGTTAATTTGTTCCCTCTCCAAGCCTGGAGGAATGGCTCAGGGCATATGATGGATCCTACTTCCGGCCCAGGGGATGTGGCAATCGCTGAGGCTGGCCCGGGACCTGGTGCAGAGCGGGGAGGGGGCAGGTAAATGGGAGATGTTTTTCCCAAAGGGGGTGTTTCTTGATCCACATGATAGGTTAGACACACGTACTTATCTTTTGCCGATCGAGCACCACTTTTCACTGGGTCTGGAGGCTTGGGTAGACTCTCCGCCACTTGGTCTCTCCCGATGTGGAAAACGCATCCCAAGCACCACTGCTTGCCTTACCGCACATGCCGGTGGATCCGGCCTGCAGGGTACAGTTCCCGCTGAGTCAGATCTGGCAACCCCTCACTGCTTCTGAACCATCTCTCCCTCCCCTGCCACTTAGTCTGAGTCCTCAACTTTGCCTTTGATGTTCAGGGCTCCTAGATTGTCATAAATAATCAATTTACTTGTTTTTTTGGGTCCCTGTTGTAAGAGGGACCACAGGAAGCATCCAACTGTTCTGCCATCTTGGCCCCACCTCCTGTTTTTGTCTTTTTTAATCATAGCTCCCTACAGCAGCCCTTGGGAGAGAGGGAGAAGGACCATTTCCATTTATAGGTGAGGAGCTTGAGGCATAAGAGGGAAGGATGGAATCTCCTAGTCCATGTCTCTTTCTAGAAGATTCTGGAACTTCTCTAAAACTTTTTATCCTCGGCTTTTCCCCCACAGCCATGTACCACTCTATTGTGCTCCCTCCTCCAGGTCTTTAACCCCAGACCAGGCCTCCTGGACACTCAAGGGTTCATCTTCAAAGGTCATGTTCTTTGGGTGGAACAGCTTCTAGCGTCTTCTTGGAAATTCCATAGATCAGGGAGGAGCTTTTGACAAGTTCTTATATCCTGCCCCCCCAAGCTGAGTGGTAAACCCCAGAGAAACATCAGAGCAGCCCAGGCTCAGATAACAGGCCACTTGGCCTCACTGTTGTCCAGGGCACATTGAAAGCCTGGTGGGCTGGCCTCAGGCGTGGTCCCTGGGAGTGGGCGCTTCCCCAGCCCTCCCTGCCCAGCAGTCTGAGCCCAAGCCTGTCTCACAGCCAGCAAAGCAGTGCATGGTGAGGCCCCGGACACTGTTCTGAGCACTCCATGAAACTGAGACATTAGAACTCCAAGACTAATATATTTTTCTGCCAAAAACACCCAATAAAATGTACAACTAATGAATAAAATCGCAACATTGCCAAGAAGGGATGTGTGCCCCAAATTTCTAAAAATACCTCAATCATGCTGTGTCTTAAAATCAGCCCCAAGCCAGGAGGTTGTTATTTAAAATTCAGCTCTGAGTTTCAGCGGCAGGAACCCCAGGCCCCAGGATGGAATCCATGTTAAAGTCACAAACCATGAAGTCTCTGGCTTCTACATTCTCTCATCCCAAACCAGGCCTCCTTGAACACTTGGGGGACTAGAACTTTCTGCTAATTGTGTCAAAGGCCCCGAGAAGCACAAGGCTGCAGTGGGACTCCCTGATGAGAGGAGCAGTGGCAGAGCTGGATACCTAAGTCAACAGTCACTGATGTGGGGTCGCTGGACCACTGGACACGTGGACCCCCGAAATGGAGTGTTGACGTGCAGTGGGGATAATTTTCAGGGGTGGGATGGGGTATCCACAGCTTTCTTCAGATTCTCAAAGAGGCCTCAGACCCAGGCAAGGTTAAGCACCACTTGCATCTTAGCTTCCTAGGACCTAGGTTCAGGAAGGCTACCCTGCCCTTCATAAACCCAGAAAACAGAAGCCAGACGTTGGTAGAACAAGTCCTCTAAGAGTAAAGATGTGAGGTCTTAGTCAACCGACTTCAGTTCTAACTAGCAAACCAGTTGCCATCAAGTCACTCCGACTCATGGCGGCCCCATGTGTGTCAAAGCAGAACTGTGCTCCATAGGTTTTTCAATGGCTGATCTTTCAGAAGTAGATTCCCTTTCTTCCAAGGCACCTCTGGGTGGACTCCAACCTCTCAGTTAGCAGCCAAGCATGTTAAATGTTAACTGTATCCACCACCCAGGGACTCCAAATTCAATTCTACCAACCTGAACTGAGCACCAACTCTTGCCGAAACTGTGACGAACATGATAAGGCCCCCAACTCCGAGCCCCCTCCCTGTGGCTGAGGAGATAATGTAGACATACAATTAAGATACAAACCTGACTGCCGTTGAGTGAGATATCAGGGAAAGCTTCCTGGAGGAGGCAGCATTGCTGGGCCTCCGAGAACAGCAGACTGGTTATTTATGAAGAAATGGAGGGTGAGCCCTGTAGTCAGAAGGTGGGGCTTCCTAGAGAGGAGGGCCCTGTGTGCTTTTGTGCAGGAGCCCCAGAGTTGGGGGTTTCCCTGTACAGTGAGTGAGGGCCTGAGCTCTGCTGCCCCTTCCTGCCACCGTTGGCCTCCCACAGCTTTTCCCAGGCCCTGGCTGCTCAGTGGGACTATGGGGCAGGCAGCTGCAGCCCTTTCATCTCCTCAGTGTCTGACATCCCAGCTGCCTGGGATGCAGGGCCAGGCTCACACTCCACGGGCTGGGATCAGAGAGAGTCCCGGGTGGCCTGCTGGCTCAGCAGCCCTTTGATCCTCACTCTATCTCCCTCAGCAGCTGACCCTGCTACCTGGGGCCCCTACCTCAGACAAAGCCCAAGGGGAGGTCAGTCTGCTGGTCTGTAGGAGGGGCATAGGGCTGGGACTTGGGGGATCACCCCCATCTCTCCCGTCTACCTTGTCCATGCAATGAGCATCAAAGATCTACCCAATCTTCCTACCTCTGGGGCGTATGGCGAGGATGAAATGAAACGAGAGGTGGAATCTCACTAAACCGAGCAAAATGAGGCCACCAGATGTTTTGGCAGGACCTGAGTTTGGAGTCAGAACCCTGGCTTCCAGCCCTGGCTCCATCCCTCTCCAGGCACGGAGCTTTGGGGAAGCCACAATGTTTCGGTGCTCCACCTCCTCATGGTAGGCAAAGGCACCTGCCCTGCCCTGCCCAGCCTGCCTCCCTGGCCGGTATGGACACCAAATGAGATAATGGCTGGAAAGTGCTTTGAAAAGAATAAAGTGCCGAGGCAATGTCAGGGATTATCATTATTATTAAGGAGTGTGATTACAGAAATCCAGAAAAGCTGCCATTAACAAGAAAGCTCCTGTTCGTGTTGATTTAATTTCCTGGTTAACTGAGCGTTGGCAAGGAAAAAACTCTATGTTTCAACCCTTATTGAAAATCTTTTTAAATTATGCCAGTCTACTTTCTTGCACTGGTCATGTTATTGTCTTGAATCTTAATTCATTAACAGATTGATTCATTCATATGTTCATTTTCTACTCTTCCTCCAGCTATGCTCAAAAAGGTAGTAGTGGACTCAGCATCCTCCATGCCAGGGGTCCTCATGTCCCCCCTCCCCAGACTTGTGGTCCAGTACCAAGAGGGAAAAGCAGAGGAGACCAGCAGGCAGGAAAAGCCTCAGGATATGGCCTTCCATGTGGCTTTTTCTGTAGTTCCCTGCGCATCTTGATATATTGTCATATGCTTCCTTAGCATGGTGCAAAACAAAAAAAGTGGTCCAAGAAATTCATTCTGACAGGTAGAAGGGCTAAGCCAGGTTTTTCTGGGTTTATCCAGGTGCGTCTATAAAGTGACACGCTTGCTTTTTAACAGACCTGCCAGACCTGGTGTGGCCAAATAAGCTGGACCACCTTCTGGTTGGCCATGGCAAGGCCACGTGCTCCTTGCTTCAAAACTGCTGCCCGCCCCCCCACCCCAACCGCCAGGCCTCTTGGGGTATGGCTGTCAGAGCTGGTGGTGGGCAGAAAGGACAGAGGCCACTTTGAATTGAATCTGATGGGAAGTTGTTGTTGGGTGCCGTTGAGTCAATTCCTACTCATAGCGACCCTATGTGTTACAGAGGAGAACTGCCCCATAGGGTTTTCTAGGTTGTAATCTTTATAGAAGCAGATCACCAGGTCTGTCTCCCAAGGAGCCTCTGGGTAGGTTGAAACTGCTAAACTTTCAATTTGCAGCTGAGTGCTTAACCCTTGCGCCACCAGGGGAAGGAGCGGCCCCATTTCAGTAGAACTATTTCAGGGCAAAACTGTGCCTTCAAGATCTTCAGACCAAGGGTTCTCTGCATCCTTAACCTCCAAAGGGGTCTTCAAGGTTGGGAGGAGGGGTGTTCTGGGGACTGCATGTCCTCTTGGGAAGGAGGGGTGGTGATGCCTGGGGTTTCAGTGATGAGGACATGCATGTAAAGAATGAGGTGGGTGCATGTGCTGGCGGGGTGGCTGTTGGTGTGAAGTCTTGTGTGTTGGGCTGGAAATGCAGTCTGGTCTCGTGCACCTGGTCCTTAGTTACAGGTGCACACACTTGTATGTAGACCAGTGGTTCTCAACCGGGGCAATTTGCTCCCCACCCCCTGCCAGGGGACATTTGGGGTGTCTGGAGAAATTTCTGGTTGTCACAGCCTGGAGGGGGGATGTAACTGGCATCTAGTGGGTAGAGGCCAGGAATGCTGCTAAGCCTCCCATAATGCACAGAACGGCCCCACAACAGAGAAGGATCCGGTTCCAAATGTACTATGCCTGCGAACCTGGTGTGCAGAGACTCAGACCCTGCCTGGACCTGAGGAGAGGGAGGGGGTCCCTGCCCTGGGAAGGCTCTGCACTACCCTCATGCTACCCGTGTCTGTCTCTCCCCCTAGAACCCCGACATCGTCCTGGTGCACTACCTGAATGTGCCAGCCATCGAGGACTGCGGCAAGCCCTGCGGCCCCATCCTCTGCTCCATCAACACCGACAAGAAGGAGTGGGCAAAATGGACAAAAGAGGAGCTCATCGGGCAGCTCAAGCCCATGTGTGAGTAGCCACAGCCAGCCTGCACACCCTGTGCTGGGACTCCAGCCAGCCTCACTCGGGCAGGGCCAGAGGGGACCGGGTGTGGGAGCCCCATTCCACACAAGTGTCAGTGACACGTGAACTCCTGAGCCAAACTTCACTTTCCAAGGCCCACTCACACTCCAGCCTTCACGTGATGCTCACAACCTCTCCACTCGATGGCAGGGCACAAAATGTCACTCCCATACTGCAGATGAGAAAAGTGAGGTTCAAAGGAACAAAGCAATGTGTGCAAAATTACCCACCAAAGGAGGAGAGGGTTCAGCACTGTAGATTTCTAGGCTGTAGGCAGGAGGTACGGTGGGGAGGGGAGCTGGGGTCAGGCCAGGGAGGGGAGCAGAGGGGCTGGCCAAAGCTGGCCTGCTCCCACACTCGGCCGTCTGCACCCGGGCTCTGGGTTCAGTCACCACCTCCTGGATGCAGGGCTGCCTCGGCTCCCAGACTGGGTGGCAAATGGATGATGGTAATTGAGCTGGATTTCATTTTGTCAGCAAAGTGATGCTTTCGGAAGCATCTGTCAGGTGCAAACCGCTGAATGCAAAACACCAAATGAGTCCAGAAAGCAGCACCAGGGCCTCATTTCCTTGGGCTGTGGCTCCGGAAGTGGCCAAGGGGCCACGGTGCCCACCTCCACCTGCTGGGCAGCTGGGCTCAGGAAAGAGCAAGTGCAGTTTGCTGGGCCAGAGAAGAGCAGGGCATCAGTGCTGGACACAGGCCTGGGGCCAGCCGTGGAGCACTGATTCTTGAGGCTTGGAGCAGAGACCTGTAGTCATGTAGGACCTCAAAGATCGGCCGGGGGTTACTCGGGACCACGTGCCCCTTGGCAGCTGGGCTGGAGGGAGGAGGCTGATGAGCACTATACACAGGGGAGCAACTAAAGCATCCTCTCAAGGGGTGGGCAGGGAGTGTCCCGTCACTGGGGTGTCCAAGCTGAGACCAGGGGCACCTGCGATGACCAGCTGACCCTGAGGATCCCTCCAGTGTGCAGATTCGGGGATTTCTCCTCCAGCCTCCCAGTTGGGTCGTGGTTCAGGAGGCAAAGGAAGGTCCCCAGAGGCCAGCAGCCTGATCAGGCTGAACTGAGCTCAGCACATGCTGCCCTCCTGAGCCAGCTGCCTGCAGGGTGGTTCTGGGCAGCTTGGCCTCAGCACTACTACCCAGAACCTGGAACCAGACAGCCCAGGGGCCTTCCCCCGGCTCAGGTTATTACAGTGGGACTTCTGAACAGTGCTGACCATGTGCCCAATGCTCTGAGGGTAAAAACTCCTGGCGTGGCAGGCAGTGCCTCTGCCATGGGGCCCCACATCTCTGCAGCCTCAGACTCTGCGTCCAGCCACGCTCAACATTTCTGGTTCCTCACAGGAGCTTGCCTCTCCTCCTGCGGTCTGTACCCTCCCCTGCCCTTCCCCTGTCCCTCCCCTCTACCCTCCCTACACCCTCCCCTGCACCCTCGCCTGCACCCTCCCCTGAACCCTCGCCTGCCCCTCCCCAGCCCCTCCCCTGCCCCTCCCCTGCCCTCTGCCCCCTGGCCCTTCAGCTCTCAGCCCAAACATCACTTCTTCCTGGGCCTCCTGACTGCTGGATGGGGACTCACACCCCAGCACACTCACCTTCTCCAAAACTCCCCCGAGGTGGACCTCAAACAGGAATCTCCCTCCTGTACCTAACCAGAGGGTGCCGCAGCAGCCTCCCCAAATTCTGCAGAGTATTGAGAAATCAGGAGACACTGCAGTGAATGCCCCAAGAGTCCTCCCTGCCGCAACTGCTCCCAGGGTCCAACATGGCACTGGGCACGTGGAAGGTCCCTGTGGACGTTTGTTGAATGGATGAATGGGAAGTGGCTGGCCCAGCTCTAGTCCACTCCCCACGGGAGCCTGAGGAACTGGCAAAAGCCTCCAGTGTCCAGGCCCAAAGCGGGGGTGCTCAGGGGCCCCCCTTCGAGGCCAAGCCAGAGGCCCAGGGTAATGCTCTCAGACCAACCTGTGCCCATCCCTTCCCAATGGGCAGGGCTTTCCCTGCCAGCTGGTCCCTCCAGGGACTGCTCACACTTCCTTGAACTGACACTGGGCCCCCCAGGGCCTGCTCACACTTTCTTGCACTGACATTGGGTTTCCTGCCCCAGGTCCTGTTCAGACCTGCTCTTCAGCAGAGCCTTGTCTGGGGCCAAAGCAATGACTCTGGTGACAATGAGCCGTTCGGCCACCTGGCCAGGGCAGTGGAAAGAGTCAGAGCTGGGGGGTCAGGAGGTGGGCGCTAGTCCTAGTCCTGTGGCCACCCCCCTGTGTGACTCTGGGTCAGTCACCCACCTCTTTTGCACCCCAGCTCTCCTTCTATAAAGTGAAAGAGAGAACCCACAGTCTCTGCTCCAAAGCCAACCTGCCAGCTCTGCAGGGCCAGGCTCAGCTCCTTGGGCTCTGCTTGGCTTCCATGTCCATAGTCCAAGATCAAGGCAGCAGGTGTCCTGGGAGGTGGAGTTATTCCAGGTGGATGGGCTCATTCTGGAGAAGCTGCCCATCTTTCCCTCCATGGGAGGATATACCCAGGGTGGAAGCCTGGGCCTTTTCTCCCAGGACTTGGTGATGCTTCCAAAATAAGGGTCCTAAAGGAGGACTCTTGCCTTGAAAGGGTGGCCAGGCACACCTGCACCTGGTCAGACTCCAGAGAGTTCAAGGTTTGAGAGGGAATCCCATTCCCAAAAGCTGTCTGCAGTTGTTGTTGTTGTTGGGTGCCATAGAGTCGATTCGACCCATCGCAACCTCTCGTGATAGAGTAGAACTGCCCCACAGGGTTTCCTAGTCTGCAATCTTTACAGAAGCATATTGCCAGGTCTTTCTCCCACGCAGCCACTGGGTAGGTTCAACCTGACAACCTTATAGTTAGCAGCCGAGTGCTTAACCATTGCTCCACCAGGGCTCCTTTTGTCTTCAGTTAGGAGCAGGAATTGCCTTCTTGACCTTTCTGGGCCTGTCATCTCTTTCTTCTTGGGCTGCTCCAAGGAGTTCAGACTCCATTTGCAAATCGGGCCCCTATCCACATAGCTGGGGAGCAGCCCCAGCCCTAACTGGGCCTCAGAAAAATCTCCAGATTTTGTGTCAGCCAGAGATTAGCCAAGGGGATGTGCCTGAGTGAAGAGGTGCCTTTCAAGATGGCCAGCACGGTCAGGGCCCCTCCGTTCCCCCAGCCCTCACCCTCGCAAACATCTTTCTCAAAAGGCACCGACAGCCCTTTCCCCATAAGCCATCCCATCCCCATTTTCCCTGTACCTTCCCCATCCTTTTATTTGACCTGCTTCCTTTTACTGTCCTCGCTGCCTCTCCCTTCTCGCAATGCCCCCAGATCATCAGCAGTGCCCCAGAAAACCCACCATCCCCATGTAAAAGCCTGCCTGTCCTCAGACAGGGATGTCACCTCCCAGACAGGTGGGGACATTGAGCTCTGGGAACCCCAGGGGGTGGAAGCAAGGCCGGAGCCAGCCGAGTTCTGGTGCTTAGCTGTAGGGACTTTGAGAGCCGCTCAAAAATCTGCAGTGCATCAAGAAGATTATGTAAAACTACAACAAACTCCCCATAAATCTAATAACAGTGGCTCGCTGGTGTCTCGGGAGGGAGCGAGGAGCCTTGCACAATTACTCAGAGCGGGCACGGATGCGGGGGGCACTGACTGAAGATGATCAGCCTGGAAAACACGTCTCAGGGAGCTCGGCTCAAATCAAAGCTTTAGATTCAGACCAGGCTTGGAACCCACTTAGGGCAGCCGCTAACCGTGTTCGGGGAAGGCAGAGGTGTGCTGGGTGCCAAGAAGGTATCAGATCTGGTTCCAGAATCAGGCATGCCACCAAACGCTGGAGCCAAACACATTAGCTTCATCACGTTTTCACATAAATCACATTCTTTCAAAGACTTCACAGTTTGATTTCCTGATGTTTCCAAATTTCTCTGCCCTGCAGCAGAGTTGTCAGTGGTTTAATCAAAATGTTGTGCTTGTCGGTGGAGAAGTGAATCTCTGATCTGTGGCCTGTGCCTCACCTGTTGCAGAATGGGGTGGGGGTGGGGGGCTTGTGATTCTTGCACCTTGGTAATCTCACAAACACCCGTGTCTAAGCCAGATGGATTCAGAGAATCCCACCTTGATTCTTCCTTTTGACCTGCAGTCTGAGGAATGACTCCTCCAGATAAAAAACACAGGCAGAAAAAAATTAAGATGTCTAATAGGAAGTCCCAATACGTTCCCAAAGATCCTTCCTGTCTTTTGTAATTCCATGTGTAATAGTTAGAAGACGGATCCTGCTGCTGTAACACAGACCAACACAGACCAAAACAAGAGTGGCTTAAACGAAACAGGAGGAGTCCCTGGGTGGCACAAATAGTTCAGGGTTCGACTACTAGGTTCAAGCCCACCGAGCGGTGCCTTGGAAAGCAGACCTGGTGATCTACTTCTGAAAGGTCACAGCCTTGAAAACCCTATGAAGTGGTTCTACTCTGCACATATGGGGTCACCATGAGTCAGAATCGAATCGATCGCAGCTAACAACAACAACAAATAAAATAGGAGCTTATTTCTCTTTCACATAGCACTTCAGGTTGGTATAGCAGCTCCCACAGTGTCAGGGATCAGCAATCCAGGCTCCTTCCAGCTGGTTGCTCTGCCATTCTTACAGTGTTGCCTCTTTTTTTTTTAACGTGGCCCAAAATGCCTGCTCCAGCTCCTGCCATCACAACTACGTTCCAGTCATTGGGAAGGGGAGAGAGAAAGAGGAGGGTATGCTTCTTCCCTTTAAGGACATGACCCAGAAGTTGCATGCATCACTTCCAGTCGTATCCCATTGGCCAGAATTTTGTTATATGGTTGCCCCTAGTAGCAAGGGAGTCTGGGAAATATACTGTTTTGCTGAGCAACACCATCCTAGCATACCTGAGGAATAAGGCTCTGCATGTGAATCATCCATTCTGACTCATCATGTA